ATATACATATATAAATGTGTGACTGTTTTACTTTAATTACATGTTCACCATCTTCTTCTGCGCGTCACCTCAAACTTTCCCGCGATGTATGATTGTTTTGAATCTTGAACCGCCTGTTTTCTGACAATTATTCCTCTTTTCTAGGCAGGCGCTATCGGCGCCCTGTGTTTGTCGCCGTTAATAACTTCGAAAACAACTTTGTGACACCGGCAACAACAGCTTCCTCAAAGCCGGGGCAGTTTGCCTGCCATCAATGTGGAAACGTCTACCGCTGGAAAAGGAACTTAAAACAACATCTCAAGATGGAATGTGGCAAAGAACCGAGTTTTGCTTGTCCTCACTGTCCGCACAGATCGCATTACCGTAGCCACTTGAGAAGACATCTTATCAGCAAGCACGACGTTTCTTTACCTTGATCTTTTCAGCTATTGTACAAATTTCAATGTATTGTTCTTACTTTTCTGGTACTCAATGTATTACAAGCACGTTGTGTAAGCTTCTTGGAAATTGATATATTAGGTGCCAGCTGATGAACTTGTAATATTTGTCGAAGCAGGAATCCAGTAGTCTTCCTGAGAAAGCAGTCAATCCAATTTTAAGAGAAATCCTTAAATCTGGAATACTTATATATTGCTGTAGGCAGCTTTCATCTTAAAATTTAGCGTTCTGCAATTTGTTTTGGAAATTTACAACGATAATGACATTTAAATATTAAAATGTTATGCTTTTGTGAGAAATTGACTAAACGTTTGTAGTATGACTTAATAAATACATTTCTGTAAAAGTTAAAGTGATCAGTAGCGCTACTTCAACAATTCATTGAATATAATGTTTTTCCATTTAAGACACATTTGATCAAACGACAACGAAATCACATAACGATTCTTTCTGGTATTACGTACCTCGGCGACTAAGCGTCGATATTTATCCAGAAGTGTGTTTGTCTCTCTATTTACCAAGCACATGTACCCCTCACCCTTTCCCCCAATCGCCAGTCAGTGGAAGTTGTATTGTATTACCTCGGATTTCATCCTTGCCTTCAATCGTCTAACACGTTTCTGCACTTTTCAGATCAGTGGATTGATGGGGATGAGCGGAACGAGCGTTCCCGCATTTTGGCCGCCTGGGCCTTGGCCAATCACCAGCCGCGTCACCCGAACTCTTTTGGCAACCTGCCACCCCTCCCTGATGGCATAACGGCGCACCCTGTGATTCCAACCCCCTTGAGTGCCGCTCTAGCTGTGCGGCCTAGCAGCAAGTCTCCTGGCCGATTTGAGTGCCCTCGTTGTGGGAAAGTGTATCGCTGGAAAGGCAATTTAAAGCAGCATCTCAACGTGGAATGTGGCAAGGAACCACAACTCCAGTGTCTGTATTGCCCGTACCGTTGTAAACATAAGAGTAGCATGAACCGTCACATGAAACATCTCCATGCGTGGAGCCCAGCGGCACACGGCGACACTCGTTGGAACAGTACTGCAGACTCGCCTCCTGGCTCTGTCCAAAATGGCTTCTTGGACGCGGACTGAGTGCAGCCCATTGATTTTCATGTGGTGTTACTTGCTTTCTCTGGTCGTGATTTAAGTTCCTAACAATTGAGTTACATTTCATCTATTTATTGTATTTTTGTACTTTCTTGTATGTAACTAGTTTGTTACAATCGGCCTCGCTATGATATTATCAGCTTAGATAAACCTTAGTTTTACGACGCGATAGGAACGTACGTAGCGTTTTCACTCATTTCACTTAAGCCGCTGATTCGTCTTTCCGGTGTTGTGGTGTGGATCAGAGCTCCATAAAATCGTTCTATTTGACCGACCAAGGTGATTGACGCACAGTATAAAGTTTTTCTTGTATTTCGAGGCTATATAATGAATTTTGAGGACGCGTGGATAACTTCAATAGCTACCCTTGATATCCCAGAACCCTCTGCTTCCAAAAGGAAGCCTTGGAATTTGCGTCTGGTTATCCAAGGCAAGCCCTTGCATATCAGACAAAAATTCCAAAACTTCCCCTTCACTGTGAAAACTAGTAGAAAGGTTTACGAAATCCACAGGCGAGTAAAAATTTGCTCTCGTAAGTTTACAAATTAAATTATAATTTGAGTTTACAAAAATCTCACGAATTTACGACGATATTCTTAGCAGTGTCGGATGAAGAGGGTTTCAAGTATTGCTATTGAAGTTATCCACCCGTCCTTAAAAGTCATGAGATAACATTGAAATACAAGGAAAACTTTGTATCGCGCGGCGCTTAGCGCTGACCGTACGCTGACCGCCGCTCGGTCAGCGCCGACTGCCTCGGTTGACTGCCTCGGTTGGCCAGATACGGCGATTTAGCAGCGCTCTGGTGTGGATGCCTTACAAACTAGTCAAATTTTGCTGTAGTATATTTCAACTAACGCACTTGAAAGTGCACAATTACGGAGCTGCAAACTTGCAAGTGTTAAGCAGCTGCAGTTGGTTTTGATAAATGTATTTGTCTATCAATTGTCATTAAGTGTATTTTTGATGTACGGCCATGCATTTTTTAACACACTTAGTGTGTCAATCTTGGTCAAAAGCATAAAACAGCTACGTACCAGCTACTAACAAGCTACGACAGCTAATTTGATTAGCTTCCCCAAATCAGCTAAAACGGTAGTCCTGCGCGGCCGAGGGGGCTTCAACTTTCTTTTAGAGTGTACACCAGCCTGCGAAATTGCTTGAGAAATATTTGGACTTCTTGACATATAACAACTGAAAGTAGGAAAATCGCACTATTTTCGCCACCCTATGGAACTGTACGTCAAGAGATTCGAGAAGACTCTTGAAGATTGCCAGGCACGGTAAAAATGTTCGTTCCTTGTATTTCAAGACTTATTGATCGTTGATGCCATTGACGTTCTCCAAGATCCAAAAACTAAAACTAGGTCTTGAAATGCAAGAAACTTTTTTTTTTACCGTAAAAAGGGTGTACCCCAGATTGCTTGAGTTGAGGTCCCCTCGGTTCTGACAATTAATATTTTTTTTCGTGCCAGGCCACTTATAAAAATGTTGTATTTAAACATTTTGGATGTTGGGGAAGTTGTTTGATCTCATTCTAGTTTTATCGACGTAATACATAGTAGAACTTTTAATATGATAATATATAATAAGTTTTGGAGTTGGAATGTTTTCTAATTTTACTAGGATGTAAAATGTTAGTTCTCCGAAAATATCAATATAATTACTTCACGTAATAAAATATGTCACGCCGAAATGAACGTCACAAACTTATTTTATGCGCACAGCGTTTATTTTTTAAAAGCAATATGTTTTGACCGATTTTGAACGAAAGTTTTCATTATCACTGAAAGTTACTCTATGTAACAACACGTATATGGACGTGTACAACAGTTTTTACATTCATAATTTTACGTTACTGTTGTTATACAAAGTGGTGTATGTAACAAATGTTGCATAAACTAAAATACGTGCCGTTACACTGCTAATTATGATCGGGCAGCATAGCTCCGCATATTTACAATCATCAAAAATAATTTTTCCACACAAAGTAACAAGTGTAACACCTGTTACTTAAGCTAATTTGCATAAAACTGTTACGTAAAATAATTTGTGTAACCGATGTTACAAACGCACACGAACGTAACAAACAGCTTTGTATTATGTTACATAAAGTGATTTTCAGTGATGGAAGTACAGAGGCTTTCCAGTTGTACAGTCTGGTGTTTTTAGATGTTACAGTTTTGTGCACCAGTGACCAGTCATAAACGACTTAAATGTAACCTTTTCTTTTTAATTGCAGGATCTCGCGATAGAGGTCACTATTGCTGCCCAATATGCGGAAAAATATACTGCCATAAAAGAACACTGACGTTTCACGAACGTTATGAGTGTGGAAAGGAGCCCAGTGTGCACTGCCCGTTTTGCCTTCATCGGTCGAAGAAGAAAAACAATATGTTTGCCCATATTCGTCGAGCCCATCCAGAAGCTAATCAAGAAAGCGTTCGTCTGTTACTAAGACGACCAAGACGATAGATAGTTATTTGATTCTAAACACTCAAAACAATAATCGATTTCAGTAGTTTTTTGAGTCAGCAACGATTGTTTTAATTAGTCATTTCACCTATCTCTTGTTTTGTTTGTTGCCCTGTACCTAGACTTAATCCAATGGAATAATGTAAGTCTTAAACTGTACCTGTTAGTCTGAACTCGATTGTTGAGCAGTCGTGAATCCTGAGGTTTGAACCTGGAGTTGTTACAATTGATACGGTCGTTCCTATGGCACGTTGAAAATCCGCTGCGTGATAACCGTAGCCACGACAACTGTATTCCAAGCATAGGTCTTCTGCAGACGCGCTTCTTGGTGGCCATTCCGGTTACTCGAGATGTGCCATGTTAGAGCCTTATACAAAAACATCTGTTTTCAGTACTTTTTTGAAAAACTATAAAACGGCCGACAGAGGCTTAATTTTTTAGACAGGTAGTGAATAATTACATTCTCGTCTAGAAAGTATTTCTTTTATAAAACTAAGATGGATCCATCTTAGTCTTATGCGGGCTTACGCATCAAACCTGTTATCTGTCCTACACTGGTAAAACAAGTGTGCAATATTTGCACACCAACGTGTGCAAGTTGTGATTTTGCACATTACATGGTGTTTAACTCAAGTTGTACACTTGCGTGGTGTGCAAATTTTAGACGTTTTGTAAACGTTTAAATTCTGCACACTTGGGCACACACAGTTGTATGCTGTCAATAGGGAACCATACGGTGTACAGCTGCTACACGTTTCGGAAGTGTCGAAATTTTAAACACCAATTGACGTATAACAAAGTTAGACACCACAAAGTGTCGAGAAAATGCACACTTGAACTTAAACGTCAATTGACGTGCAAAATTAAACACTTGTTTTGCCAGTGTATTGAGTTTTTATCAGAACAATTTCGTTTCTCTTGTCAGAAAAGCGATTATCCCCCCCCTCTCTGTTCTCGTGTCTCTGTGAGTGTTAAGCACCTGTTTGTACAAAATTACGATTGTGATTGTGCTAGTCAAATGCAGCCTCATTATTTTCTAGTCAAAATCACTAGTGCTGCATTCCTCTGATAACTACTCTCATATGCTGAAAATATTATGTACATTATCTTACACTGCACCAGAATTTCGCTTTATCACGGATTTATGGTTGCATTTATCAGGTCGACAAATAAAATCAGGCCAGACATTTTTAATACTACAGTGGCCACCAAGGACCATTAAGTAGATGGACTACGCATTCGGTAGTTTCTGCGTGCCTTTAGAACCAGCCATGTCAACCGGTCGCCGACAGGCTGGCCTCGGCCGTGCCCGGGGGTGGGTTCGGGTCCCGGCTGGAGCCGGGCGAGTGAGCTGGACCCGGCCGCAGCCCTAGTGGCCACTAATGCAGTCCTAGCCCCGCTGCAGCTTGCTCGCACTGTGAAAAATGGTAGGTAGGTTACAGGAAAATTTTCCTTGACGCAAGTCGTAAAATTACAATTTGAAATCGTAAAAATACATGCAGTACGTATCGACTTAAAATTCATTGGCGAGTAAAAAATCTTCTCTCGTAAATTTACAACTTAAATTATAATTTGAGTTTACACAAATTTTGTAAATTTACGACGATATTTTTCACAATGCCGGCTCGAGCTGGGACCCGGAGCCGCCTCCGAGCACGGCCGAACACAGCCGAAGCAGATCTCGGCCTGTCACCGGCGGGTTGACATGCCCGGTTGTAAAGGCAACACCACGGGGTTCCGGATGCGTGGTTCTTGGTGGCCACTCGCACAGCCGCGCCTCTCAAAGCTGCGTGAAGCCCTTGTGGCCTGTCCGCATGCAGCACTGTGGCTCTATCTTTCGGCTGGCCACGCAGCAGAGTGAGGGTGGAGGTCCCTCTCAAAGCCGCGCTGGCCTCCACGACTGTGCGTGTGGCCACTGTATGCCGATATCAAGAGGAATGACACTAGTAGTGTTTGAAGCTCCTATACTTCAGCAGACCTGTCAAGAACATCTAATTATGATTTTTTAAGTGCCAATTCTTGTTGGGTACTAAAGAGGTATTTTTAGAGATTTGTTAACACGACGCACACTTAAAATGTATATATCTCTACCATTATTAGTGCTGTCTTCTAAAACTTAAGGGGGCAGTTTATTTGGTGATTCCGTAGCTGCAAGTGTTTAACTATTCCAGTCGTAGCTATGGTAGCTATGGTTCCGAAAAAGAAAAAAAATGCAAATCAGAAGAATTAAACATTTCACACCCGATTTAAAAAGAAATTTCTGTTTTTATTCACAGTGGCATTTAAACAAACTTGCGTTAGTTCTACAGGTGAAAAAAGTTACAATCATGTCTCATATTGAAATGCCTATTTCTTCAGGTCATCCGTCTGGAACGTGGCACGGTGCTTCTAATGAGGGATGGTTCCGAGAACAAATTATGCTGAATGAGCATACAGAACCTGTGCACATCTGTCCAGGCTGCAGTAAAGTATACCGGTATAGAAGAGGACTAAATTTCCACTTGAAGAATGAATGTGGAAAGGACCCACACGTACAGTGTCCTTTCTGCCCTCATCGATCGAAGCAAAAAGGAAATGTTGTTGCTCATATTCGTATAAAACATCCCGAACAGGATGTTGATAGTGTTAAAAGTTGCTTGCAATCGATTTATTGTTAATTGAACTAAGAGTACTAGTGAAAATGTTCACAATAGTCGTACCACGACCTAGACAGTGTTTCGGACTCAACATGCCGTATTTTGGCGTACAAAATAAAGCAATTTTCATCTTCAACGAAAATATCGTTTTTACTTTACCTAGTGGATCAATAAACGACTTCTAGATGAAGAATCTATTTTTGAATTGTCTCAGCTTCCACTCAAATGAGCTAACACGCATTACTCTTCCAGGCGGGAAGAAATGCCGACGGCGATTCGTGTGCAACCAATGTGGGCAGGCCTTCGCTTACAATTACAACTTAACCAGACATGTCCGATACATATGTGGGCAGGAAGCACGCTTTTGCTGTCCGCTGTGCACCAGCAGGTTTAAAGCCAAGCCAAATCTCGTCCGTCACATTACGCAAGTTCACAAGCAGCCAGAAATAATAGCAACCATTGACATGTCATCTTTTGGTTCTATTTAATAAATAATTATGCTGTTAACATTAAATGAATGTACTCAGCCTTCTTTGTAGCGAGCGCCCTTCTGTTTTCTTCAACCGTAGTATGGTTTTCTAAAACACTTACTCATCATGTTGTCAGGTATGCTTCTGGTGCACCAGCCCCACGCCTTTGAGCCGATCGAGCTGGATATCGAGACGTCCGGCGCGGGGGCTTTCCGTCGTGGTCTTGCTACGAAGCGCCTGAACTCTGCCTCGGGAAATGCAGATAAGAGGAGGAAACTTTGCTATTTTAACCCTTTGTGGGAAACTATGTTTTTCTCCGTATATAATGTGCAAGACAACACAGTTGAGTGCCTAGTCTGCCGACAGGTGTTTAGTGCTCCAAAGCAATTTAATCTTGCCAGGCATTATAGAAACAAACATGAAAGACAGTTTAGAGGTCTTGTGGGTGAAGACAGAGCACAGCAAGTGGCTCGCCTTAAGGCTTTGAAATCAAAGTTTTAGTTTTGTAAAATGCACTCTGATTTGTAGGTGAAGTGTATTTATGTACTTGTTTTCAAGAGAAATAGAAACCATTTTGATAAGGTCTTTTTACTTCATTACTTTACTACCAAGGGCGCTTCGTTACATTTACTTTTATTAGGCGTACGTTGGACACAAATGTATTATTTCCGTTTTTTTTTTTTTTTGTGATTCATGGACGTTTTCGCCTAGTTGCTTCACTACCATTGGCGTTTATCTCTTTAACCATATTATTCGGCTGAACACAACCGTATGATTTCTGTTTTCTAGGTGATTCATGGCCGTTTTCGCAGTTCGCTTGCAAATGCTGTGGAAAACATTACCGACACAAGCGGTCCCTCGCATCTCATCAACGATTTGAGTGTGGAAAAGCTGCGCAGATTCAATGCCCCATTTGTCCGCAGCGTGCCACTGTCAAAAGGACTATTCTGGCGCATATTCGAAACAAGCATCCCGATGTCAAGTACACTGTCGCTAAAAAAATGATATAATTGGAAGTCAATGCAAAGAGTTCTGTAGGTTTTGGGGCCGATTAAGTTTTAATAAATAGTTGATAATCATTTTGCGTTGATTTAATTGGCCGTTGTTTAGTATTA